CTTATTGAGGCTTCTTTTGCACCACTCAGATGATCGGATCTTGTGGAGGAAAGGGAGGGAATGTCCGCTATTCTGGACTATCAAATAACCGTCTAGTGTCTGATCAGATTCAACGGCAGCAGACCATTCAGCAAGCTATCTCACATCACTGTTTAAGCAGGTGTGAGTACCACAGTCAGAGTGTAGGGTATTAACAGTTTTTAAAATTTACATTGAAAGCCTGAAAATGAGAACAGCTGCTCCCGCAGTTGTAGTTCAGAGTCTAATAATATTGGTTTAATTAGAAAACCGGACGACTTGGCATATCATGTGAAATGTATATACCCAGACTAGCATAGCCCGCGGTCTTGTGCAGATTAAAATATTTTGAGAGATCGACGTAGCAATCGGGGAAGGCCCACGTAGGATCTCGTATATAAACGTTCCAAAGGTACTTAATTATCAAACAGATATTAAGATCTTCATAGGCCAACAACTTTTCATTACCTATTATTCATAACGACAAAGTGTACATATATATTTGTTTTAGGCTTTTTTCCGAACCTATGAGGTACACTTGATGTTTCTTCTGTTTGTGAAGGCAGAGTTGAAGTGTGAAAATTCCTGCTAAAGGCGCTAAAAGGTAAGCCCGCTCAGTCTATTTTTATTGTCTAGCATGAAGACTAAATAACCAGTTTCCTAATTTCGCTTTGCCTTTGTGAATGAATGAGTGATGAAGGCGTTTCGTTGTCGAAAATGCATTTCGTATCATACATCTCTCTTACATTTAAAAATTTTTTATTTTTCACACTTGTAATATCTTGAAAATTGTTCTTGTAAAATCCTCGATAACTGAGTTTAACGATAACGTATGAAAGAATCAATTGTTGTTCGATTAGATGTTATTTTTCTTGAGAATTTCCGCTATTTGCAAAAGATTAGTCGACATATCTTGACCTATCTCGTTACAAGACGGGGTTGATCTGGGAAGGTAGCAATTCTATAAACATTTTCAACCGTTGAACACCTTCTGACAGTGACTTATGTTAAAAACTCCAAAGAATTCCACATTTCATTTCGTAAATGATCAACAAAAACTGGTTCTGCAAAAGTTCTGGCAAATGATCTCGAGGTTTCATTTATGGGGGGTGATCTCCGCCAATATTCTGTTTCAAATTCCATTATGACGAACCTGCAATTTCCGGTTCCATCATCAGAACCGAAATTAGACCAACAGAACCGAAATTAACGAGTCAGAACCGAAATTGAACTAACAGAACCGAAATTAACGAGTCAGAACCGAAATTGAACTAACAGAACCGAAATTACCAAGTTAGAACCGAAATTGAACTAACAGAACAGAAATTAACAAGTCAGAACCGAAATTAACAAGACAGAACCGAAATTGAACCAACAGAACAGAAATTGACACAACCGTCAATTTCGGTTCTAAATGGGACTGGGGCCGTGAAGACAGCGCTGACCGAGTGAAGCCCGGGGAAAACAACTTTACCGCCGTATGTATAATTCCAACATGGCCGCCAATGAGAGTGTGTTTCTTAGAAGTATCAGAGATGTTGTTGGAGAAGTGTTGAGAGATCTGCGGGCTTCGGTCGC